CACGACATGTACACCAACAGAATAGAGCAGGGAGCCTAGAATTAAACTCACACATGGATGGTCAGTTGATTTTTTAATACAGTGTCAAGACAGTTCAATGGAGAGAAGATGTAGTCTTTAATAAATGGTGCTGGGGAGACTGGATATCCACATGCAAAAGAGTGAAGCTGGACCGTTACTTTACACCACATACAAAAATTAACTCAAAGTGACCTGTAGATAAGACTTAAAACTACACAGCTGTTAGAATAAGACATATTATAAAAGCTCATTTAAAAAAAAAAAAAAAGCTCATTACCCTGGGTTTGGTAGTAAATTCTTAGATGTGATACCAAAAGCACAGACAAGAAAAGGAAAAGTAGATAAATTTTGACTTCATCAAAACTCAAATCTTTTGTGCATCAAAGGACACTGTCAAGAGAATGAAAAGATATCTGCAGAGGAGGAGGAAAATTTGCAGATCATCTATTTTACAGGGGTTTAACATCCAGAATACACACACACATATATGTGTGTATATATATATATCCAGAATATATATATATATATTTATATACATGTGTGTGTGTGTATAAAACTCCTACAACTCAACAGTAAAAATACAAACAACCCAATTCAAGATATGGTCAGAATACTTGAACAGACATTTCTCCAAGGAAGGTAAACAGATGGCCAGTTAAGCACATGCAAAGATGCTCAACATTAGTCATCAGGCAAATGCAAATCAAAACCTCAGTGAGATGCCACTTCACACCTAGTTGGATGGCTCTAGCCATCCAAAAATACCACCTCCTATGTATATACCCAAAAGAATTGAAAACCGGAACTCATATACTTATACCCAGGTACTTATACCCAGATGTTGATAGAAGCATTATTCACAGCAGCCAAAAGGTGGGAACAACCTGAGTATTCATCAGGAGATGAATGGACAAATGAAATATGATATATGCATATAATGGAGTATTCAGCCTTACAAAGTAGTAGAACTTGAAAGGTGCTACAGCAGTGATGAACCTTGAAAACATTATGCTAGGTGAAAAAAAGCCAGACAGGAAAGGATAAGTATACTATGGTTCCACTCATGAGGTTTCCAGAATACACAAATTCATAGATGTAGAAAGTAAAACAGAAGTTGCCTAGGGCTAGAGGTGGATAAGAATGAGGAGTTATTGTCAGTGGGTACAGAGTTTCTGTTGGGATGATGAAAAAGTTCTGGAAATAGTAATGGTGGTTATATACATACATATATATATATATAAAACGTGAATGTATTTAATGCTGCTGAATTATACACTTAAAAATGATTAGAAAGTAAATTTTATGTTGTTAATATTTTACTACAAAAAAAATTCCTTGCTGGAAATTCCCAGTTTACTTCATGAGGAAAAGTTAAAAAAAAAAGAAAGACTGTAACTTCTTTAAGTTACTAAATAGGACATCTTATTTTCATTGTTTTACCTCTAGTTAAAGCTAAGCATTCCTAAATATTTGTCAACTGGTAAATCAAAAATCAAGCCTTTTATCTTCGTCTTTTAAGTGAAAACTAAGTAAATATGATATGTTAGAAATTTAATTTATTTACAGTTTCTGTGACTGCTTTTAATGATTGTTCTGTCTTCTCTTTAGACAGTCGAGCCAGCTGGAAAGCGTTTCTTACTGGCAATCGATGTCAGTGCTTCTATGGACCAAAGAGTTTTGGGTAGTGTACTCAATGCAAGCACAGTAGCTGCAGCAATGTGCATGGTGAGAACTCCTAAGGCAATTTAGGATTTTGCCATACTGAAAATATTTACCTGGCGCAAAACTATAAAGTTAGATATGATCAAAAATTATATTTTCACTTGTTTTAAGCAAAGCTTTAAGTATTGTATATGTACTTGAGTATACTTATATATTCCAGTATTCTTGCCTGGGAAATCCCATGGACAGAGGAGCCTGGCAGGCTACAGTCCATGGTGTTGCGAAGAGTCAGATACAACTTAGCGCCTGAACAACAAAAACATACTTACATATACTTTAATACGTAGGTATATACGATATTGTAGGTATATTGAAAAAGCATGTCTAAAGAAAAATCAGAGTAGAACTTTTAATTTTACAATAACAGATTAAATGTTACTGGTATTTTTAAAGAAATAGATAATGCTTAGAGAAATTATTAATGAATATAGATGTTAAAAGATCAAGGACTAATAATAATAGACAGGAGACTTCGGTTCTAGCCTGACTCAGTAGCTAGTAACCGTCAGTGAGTTTCTTAGCTTCTCTTCTGTGGCTTTATTGCCTATTTAATAAAATAAGAAGAATAATATATAGTCTATTTGCTTCAAAGGATTGTTGTTACAACCAGTTTCTTTGTAAGAGTTTGTGAAAGTGCTTTGAAAGCTATACTACTGTTACTGTATAGTTTTCAAATGCAGTAAGTTCAGAAATAAATCATCATGTTTTCTTTTAAAGATGAACTTCAAGAGACTGTATTTGTTTCCCCTAAATGTACTGAAAATTCCTACTATTGAATTTTTCAGGTTGTCACACGAACAGAGAAAGATTCTTCTATAGTTGCTTTTTCAGATGAAATGGTACCATGTCCAGTGACTACAGATATGACCTTACAACAAGTTTTACTGGCTATGAGTCAGGTAAGAAACTATTTCATGTAGTTTATTTAACATGTATTTTATAATAATTTTGTATTGATGTCATGCCTGATATTAATCAATATATGAGAATACATTGTGTTACATCTCAGTTTTTTTTACGAGCACAAAAAAAAAAAAATATATTTACAAGCTTTCAGAAGGCCTATACATTGGCGCTAAACAAGATGCTAACGTGTAAAATAGTATTTTTAAGTATTTAATTATTTCAGACATTTCAGTATGGAAATGAGAGCATTTTCTTTTATTCTTAACCATGTTTTTATTCTGAGTTAGATCCCAGCAGGTGAAACTGATTGCTCTCTTCCGATGATCTGGGCTCAAAAGACAAATACAGCTGCCGATGTCTTCATCGTATTCACTGATAACGAGACCTTTGCTGGAGGTGTCCATCCTGCTATCGCTCTGAGGGAATATCGAAAGGTAAAGCAAATTCTAATATTCTTTCTCACCCCAAACAAGATTCAGTTCTAAAACAGTCAATATATGTTTTTTTTAAATGATACTGAAGGTAGCTGTGTACCTTTGTAAAAGGAATGCGACACCAGTTCTGGACTCAACAGTACTTGAAATGAGGAAGAACTGAGTACACATACATAATTTATCTCAACCAGTTCCAGATGTACACATTTTAATATCCTTTGCAAACAGTATTTTCAGTAACAATCAAGTTTTTTTAAAATTTAACCATAAATTTTTTAATGATTCAACATTTCTGAGTTTTGCTAAGAACTGCATAAACGTAAAGCAAAGCTATAATATAATGTGTGTTTTAAGTGTTATGAGTATTTCTGAGTTCCAATCAGTGCGCTGCAGTTGAACTTTCTGAAATGAGGGAATTGTTCTGTATCTGCACTATCCGGTATGGCATCTACTAGTCAGGTGAGAATGTGGAGTGCCGGGGTCCAGCCTCGGCAGGATCCTGGGGGTACCCTCAGGATGAACAGCATCGGCGAGAGAGAGAGGACACGTGAGACTAGCCTTGACAGGGCCAAGTCTGTGTTTTACTTTTTGACAACCGGTTTTATACCCTTTCACAGAACGTTTTCAAGGTACAAGATGCTTACTCATGATTACACAGGATTAGCATTACATCATTTTGATTTTTAGGAAAAGCAGGATTTTTTTTCTTTCTAATTCTATAGTAATTCTTAGCACATGATCTTCTGGCCTTGGGGCTATTAACATTTTATGCAGGTGATTGTAAACCTATTTTCCATTTTTATGGTGACCTTAACTGAAAGGTAACAGGGTCATAGGGAAATAGTACAGAGTAGAATTATATTCTTGTTAATACAAAAATTAATCTTTCTGCAAAAGTTGTCANCACCACCCAGGAAACTTATTGATTAAAGTTCTAAGTTGATTCTTATTTGGAAAGAGATTGGGGAAGGCCTTCTGCCTGTGTCACAGAAATTAGGGAGTAGTCTATTGAAGCAAGCATCAGAAAGACAGATATCATCTTTAAGGTGAGCGCTGGGGGCAGCTTTTCGGAATCCCTGAAAACCTGATCCACCTTGCCCATCAAGTTTTCTCCCTTACGGCCTTGTTAGGGGTAGGGTCTCGTGTGTTGGCTCCCGGCAGTGGAGCACTTGAATTGTGGCAGATGCGACTGGAAGTAGAACCAGAACTTGATGAGAGCAGTGGTTCTCAAAGTGTGGTTTCCTGCCTGCACCTTTTCTTAGCGTCACCTGAGACCTTGTTAGAAATGCATGTTCCTGGAGACCCTGGGAGACCTGCTGAGTCAGGAACTCTGAGGATGGGACTGTGTGTTAATAACCCTTTTTGGGGGTTCTCTTGTGTGCTTAAGAAAAGAAGTGAGAGAATGGAACTCAGAGTCAAGAAGCCTGGGTTCTGAGTCCTGGATCTTTCTCTTTATACTAGCTATAGATCCAAGTGAATTATTTAACTGATACATGTCTTAATAGTATATCACTGCTGTGGGTATGTACCATGTTGGTTAAAAGTACTACTTCTTAGGGTTGTTATAACAATTGTTATTGTTTAGTCGCTAAGTCATGTCCCACTCTTGTGATTCCTCGGACTGTAGTCATCCAGACTCCTCTGTCCATGGGATTTCCCAGTCAAGAATACTGGAGTGGGTTGCCATTTCCTTCTTCAGAGGATTTTCCCCACCGAGGGATTGAACCCTTGTCGCCTGCATTGGCAGACGGATTCTTTACCACAGAGCCACCAGGGAAGCCCTCGCTGTAACAGTTAACATTAGATCAATTGTCTAAAGAGCTCATGGTATCTGACATAGTGCACACTCAGTGATTGTTAGTCTTTCTCAAAAACTCAAGTGTTTTAGCCTTAAATCACAGTTGCAGAGAACAAGTTATTACATTGACATTATAGTTATGACATTTACATATGTCATACATAGCAAAGTCATAGAACAAAAATTGATAACCCCAGGAACTGTTTCCTTATGTGTACCCATACATACTGCCCCAGTGTATGATGTGCTGGTAAAAATGTCTGATGTCTCTGAATATTCTGACAGGTTTCATGAGTACAGAGTCCCTGTGCTGCTCAGGAATGTATTTTGTGTCCATAAAATGAGTAATAACATCCAGCAGAGAAGCAGAAATTTCAGGCAGGTTGTTCACATGTTTAATCGTCTATACTTCTAAAGATCACATTCTATTCTTCTGAAGTCTTCTGGCCCCAGAAGACTGGCAGATTTTATGGAGGAAAAACAAATTGGCTTTGTAATAAAAAGCTATGATAGAATTTAAAATGTTTTAATTTTGGAGCTTATTTGCTTTTTCTTATTAACGTACTATTTTTAAAATATCTTTGATCTTTTCCTACAGAATATGGATATTCCAGCTAAATTGATTGTTTGTGGAATGACATCAAGTGGCTTTACCATTGCAGACCCAGATGACAGAGGCATGCTGGACATGTGTGGCTTTGATACTGGCGCTCTGGATGTGATTCGAAGTTTCACATTAGACATGATTTAACCATAAGCACCAGCACAATCTAAGAGGTCCACTGCCATCAGTGATCTCACTAAAAACACACAGCTACTTCCCAGCTAATCTTAATCCACTGAAAGAAGTCAGACAATGGTACAGTATGTGCATAATGGAAAGGTTACCTTACCAAAAAAAAAAAAGGAAGGAACAATAAGAGGAGCCCAAAATTCTTTCTACTAAACTAGCTTTTGGGAAATAGCTTCAGAATACACTGTAGCCCCCTCTACCTAACAGAGAACTTCTTGTTGAGACACTGTAAAATAGTCAAATAGTTCTGCTTTGGTGAATGATCACATTTGTACTTAAAAGAAGTGAAAGCCAAAAGTGTAAGTAGTCCTGTATCATGTCATTTGTTTGAGAAATGCCTTTAAGTTTTCTTAAGTGTTTTCATTGGTAAAGGACAGCTTTGATAATGTCCAAATAATCTGAAATGCACTGGACCATGTACTGTGATTGATTATGAAACTCCTTGAAAATCTTTGTACCAAGGGGATAAAACAACCACCAAGACATTTGCTTATGAATGAGTTTTACAAATTGCTTTAACAGTTTTCTCCAATCACATAGATAGCAGCATTCTCAGTCACTGAAAAAGATGCTCTGTTTCTGAGGGTTAATTTACACTTACAGGATTGTTTACCATTAACCAGAAACATAATGTAAACCTTTGAGAAGAGAAACTAAAGTTTGTGTCAGCTGAGGAAGTCTATTTTGGTTTGTTCTTGTTTGTTTATTGCTGTGAGGGGCATGACTTGATGGTTTCCTGTGGCTTATACCAACATAGCCACGTGTAGGGACACATTTTTTCATATGTTTCATCTTATGAGAACATAAGGTGTTTCAAGCATTTAACTTCCCCTACTCATAATCTGAAAAATATGACAAATAAAATCTCAACTATAACCATAATCTGGTTATACCTTAATTTAAAATATTTTACCTTACTTTAAAATATTGTTTTAATTTTAATTACTTTTTTTAGCCAAGTATAAATGGGTTTTAGATATTTCTAATTGTAAACATGTTGGCATCCTCCTCTCTTTGTCTACTATTCATTTGTGGCAAAATATTCTTTTTTGATAGTGTAACAAAATAAGCAAGCTAGGTCTTTCAGGTTTGAAAGGCAATTTTTGAGTGGCATATTACCACTAACCAGTCTGTAGGAAATTAAATTTTTCTTATTTGTGTGTATTAAACTTCCTATTCATTATAAAGTGCATTATTTCCTTGAGCAAATAACCCTTCTGTGTGGGGAGCTTTAAGCTGTTGAAATGCCAATATATTTGCTCATAATTATATCATGGTTATCTAAGATAATGTGCACATAAAACCTAGTTTTTAATGTATTGTTCCTTAAATGTATTTAAAGATTTACTGGGGATTTTTAAAGCCTTCTCACTATGAAAAGTCAAACAATAAGTGTGAATCACAGACTTTTGTGTGCTTGGGGTTAGAGATTTTATGTTGGGGGCAGAAAGGTTAAGTAATGTTAGAATCTGTATGTTTTCTTCTGTTTCATGAGAAATTTGGGCTCTGGGAGTGACAAGAAAATGTCCCTTTCAAACTTATTTGACATATTTATACTGGGTTTATCTGATATGTAGCTATTCCTTCAAGGCAACTGGTAGCAATTTGTAAATATTGTGATTTACCTGAGATATTGGTCAACAAAGCTAGTGGCATCCTTCCCCACCCCCCCAAAATACATCGCTTCTGGTATCTTTGTTTTTTTACCCTCTGTCAGGCATTAGATTTGAAATGTTAGCTACTTTCAATACATTAAAATATTATGCTCAGATTGAATTTAAAGTGTAAAGAACCTAATAGAATTATGTAATTGTACTTGAATTCATTACATAAACCCAAGGTCGTCTTAAATTAAAAATTATAACATGATTTAACTTTTTATTCCTAATAGAAATGTTAAGTGGAATATAATATAAACGCTTATTTCCTTCGGTTAAATACTGTTTCTATATTGTTTTTAGACAATATTCAGAAACTAATATTAATAAATCCATCAGAGAAGTATGATTAGTTGTGACCTTTTTGAAGTCACATAGAAAAGTCTATTAAATGTTAAGATTTGAGAAAACTAAAGACCACCACACAAGGTAGCTTTATTTTCAAATGATGGAGCTTTAGAGCTGGAAATAACCTTAGAAATGTAAAAGGTAATTCTTTGAGTTAGGCTAGGAACCTGAGGTCCAAGAGAGTGTGACATTGGAGCCCTAGATCGAGAAATGGCCTCCTCATTCTCATCCCAGTGTTCATTTCCCCACGAAATGGGAGGACATTTACTTACAAGAGTAAGGGATACAATAGAATTATTCAAAACTTTTATCTTTTTAGGTATTAGGAAATAATTAATGTATATATATGATTGCTTTAGGAGTAGAAAAACAGAAGTTGTGAACATGTATACTTTTGTAGTTCATAGTGACCCTCAAGCACAATTAATATCTTAATAACCTGTGTTGCTATATAACATAGTCATGTAGAAAAAATAAAAACTTTTACCTCATTATGAATAAAATATTCTCAAGTAATAAAGAAGTTTTATTTTCTGAATTACTTTTAGCATTACTGCTGATTAGGAAAATGTTGCTTTTAAAAAAAAAAACCCTAAGAAAAATAAACTTTATGTCCCAGAAAATAGGTAAATATTTTCAGGATATAGTTGTAATTAGTAAAAACAAAAACTAATCTTATAATCCTACCCTTTCCTTGTTAGTTGAAATTTCTAGGAAATTCCACTTAGGAACACTGTCTTGTACTGTTTAGTTTAGTGATCATCTTATGGGAATATTGGTGAGGAAAATGCTCAATGAATAGGATGTACCATCATCTCCCTGGAGCCTCTTTCACTCTAACTTACTGTGTGACTGGAGACAATCAGTTTAACCTGTGTGATTCAATTGTGCTATCCTTAAAAAACAATATATCTGATCCTTGGGTCATAGAAGAATCAATGAATTTATATCTGTATGAAAGTCAAAATTGGGAAGAGGGCTTGCAATACAAATTAGAACGTCTTTAAAATTAAAACTTTAATAGGGTATATGTTTTTAAAGATAAAATGTTTTAGAAAAACAGCTCATTAGCTGAGTAATTTTTTTAAACACTCCTGTTCTGAATGGGAAATGTCATCATCCTCTGATAAGAGAAAGAAGTAATATATTCCAAGTCTAAGATCCCATTAAAAAACAAACTCATACTCTTAAGTAAGAAGATGGTCTTACAAACATTTGCTTAACCTTTTAAATAATAGGTAAATCTATAAATGATAGAATATCAGCTAATCAGGCTTTTTTTCTGCAAAACAATTTAAAGTTATTTGGGAAATTTAAGACAGGATTTCTGAATAAATGTGAGGATCTGATAGTTAAGTGAGAAAGTCTTTAGAAGCACAGTAAAGCTACGTGATAAAGGAAAATGATTGTGATCACTTATTGGACTTATTTTAATTTGACTTAAAGGTACCCACACACTTCTCAATAAGGCCCTTAACAGTAAGTAATCAAAAATGAAAAATTCTAGTCTTGTCTACCACAGACATGGGTGATTTGTTAAGGTGATAACCCCTCTAGAGAAATGTCAGATAGCTGCAATGGACACATGCACAAGGGAGAATTAGGGGAAACGGTGGGCTGGACTAATTAATTAGGTGAACTTACTGTATGCATTTAATCTAGTATATCCCATATACCTGCCCCCTAGTCCCTTATTTGTTGAAAGATTACTTCTATACCTTTTTTTCCTTTTAAAATTCCTTTCTTTGTTCTGACATTTTGGTCTTTTGTTTTTCTACTCCTGCTCTACCTGAGTAATAAAGTGAATGACAAGGAGAAGGAAATGGCAACCCACTCCAGTGTTCTTGCCTGGAGAATCCCAGGGACGGCGGAGCCTGGTGGGCTGCCGTTTATGGGGTCGCACAGAGTCGGACACGATTGAAGTGACTTAGCAGCAGTAAGTAAGTCAAACAGAGAAAGACAAATATGATTTATATGTGGAATCTAAAAAATGATACCAATAAACTTATTTACAAAACAAAAAAAAAACGTCTCACGCGCACTGAATACTCATTTCCCGGTACCCTTGTCAGCAGGCTACTAGTGTGTATTACCGCTTTGCATGTAACTTTCTACTCGCCAATTTGCTACACNTTGTGCTCGCTTCGGCAGCACATATACTAAAATTAGTACCACCATGTTCTAGTAATTTTATGAACAGAAGTGAAAATATTTCATTTTCAAATATATTTAAATTTTTCTGCTTTTAGAAGCTATCAGAATCTCTATATGAAAAAAGAAATAGTAAGTTAGATACGTTTCACTTGATGAACATTTGGATTGTTATGGGTAGTAAATGGGGTTAAAGCCTTGCTATTTTATGTATCGTTACCACATAATTGATGGAACATTATATCAATACAATCATTGTATCAAAACCTCTGTTTAAATTACTTATTAAGCTTTATTTGCAATGCAAACTGTTTAGAATCCACACATGGCCAAATCAAAGATATTATATAATTAGTGAATAGTAACCAAGAAAAAATATTTTTGTTGCACTACTAAAGATGGACTGCACGTAATTTGGTATGGTGTGACTAGACATAACTTGTAATGCATCTGAATTATATTTTCCTCCTTTTATTGTCAGCTTCTGACAATGAAGAAATTCTCCTAAGGGATGAGATATATGAAATCAGCTTTAAAAAATTTGGTTGGGGAAGAACTGTTATAATCTAGTTATAAAATCTCATTTTCTTTAATATAAAGGCTTTGATTTCCATATTTGACCACTCAGTATTTAAATTATACAGACTAATGCCCGCATAGAATAAAATTGAAGTATATAAGAGCCTTAAAGTGAAAAAAATGAACCTTCTGACTGCCTTAAAATATGACTAGCTCTCCAACACAGGCATACATACTTTGCTTAGGGTCTGTTCATTAAGTAATGCCTTAATAGTGTCAGTATTTCTGAAGTATAGAACTTGAAGGTTCTTTTACAGCTTTCTCTTTTTACATAAAGAATGGAAATTTAACAAGTGTTAAAATCTGATTGTACATTAGTTGTTTAAGCACCCATTAACAGGATAATCTAGGACACTGATGTGTTATACATACATGACTGTTAACATCAGTAATACCTTGTGATAGTTTAAGGTTTTTTTATTGTTTTATATAACAAATTATCCAAGAAGCTGGACTCTGTGTAACATGATCTCCAAGGACCAAGTTGCATATTTAAACACTCTGAGTGAAAAATAAAATTGTACAGTTCCAAAAATGATTAGTTTTTTAAGGGAATTTTTCAAGACAAAAGGCAAATATTTTCTTTCAAGCCTACCAGCAATTCATTCCAAAAGTGAATACAGTTGTAAAACAGTTGCAATAAGAAGTATCGAGGCCAGTGATGTCTAATTACATTCACATTTTTACATTCACTTTGCCTTTTAAAGCAGGAATATTTTATAAAAATGAGAGAAAACTTTAAATTGTCAAGCTGGTGCTTTAAAGTATATAAAGTCTGATTTATAACACATTCCATTTCAAAGAAAAAGGACCCTGAAAGGAGGGGCAGGGTTTTCCTAGATCTGTTGATAAACTCACTGATACTCTGTTGAGTCTTCCAAGTTATCACTGTAAATAACACATCTAACAATGTAATTCTGCTGTTTTCTGATAGAAAGATGGATGAAACACTAATGTATGAAATTTGTTTCATGACAAAATAGTTTCCACCAATACTGTGAAATCTGGACTCTCCTGTCTAGCCCTGCAAAACCCATACTGGATAAATCATTCTAGACATCGAGTGCAGGTGGGCACCATGTGAGCTGTTTCTGGTCACTTGTATTACTGTAGAATTTGATAGAGGTACCAAATAAACTCTATGCACATCAAGTATTTGTCTTTTTGTTTCTTGAAAGAATTTTAAGGTTATTATATGCCTTGTAAGAAGCTTCCAGGTGGCACTAGTGGTAAAGAACCCACCTGTCAATGCAGGTTAGATATATGAGACGCAGGTTCAATGGAAGATCCCCTGGAGGAGGGCACGGCAACCCACTCCAGTATTCTTGCCTGGAGAATTCCATGGACAGAGAAGCCTAGCGGGCTGCAATTCATAGGGCCACAGAGTGGGACGTGACTGAAGTGACTTAGCATGCATGGCTTAAAAGATGTAAGGCTCTTGGCCTTATATTTTATAATCTTACAGTATTTGAATATTCAATCTTATAATAGTTGAATAAAATGAAATTTTATTGATTTTTTTTGATTAATCAAAATACTGGTTAATTAATCATTAATACTGGTCTTGAAATGCCTCAATGTTTATTTAAAATATGTGCTTGAGGAGTCTTTTCCAAAGGGTATTAATTATAGAATCAAAACTAGATTTAATAAAAATACTTATTTTTAAAGAGTTTAAAAAGGATTCTTTTGTGGGAAAAAATTATTCGAAGTTGCCTTTGGGAGGAAGGAAAGGATAAATTGGGAATTTGGGATTAACATACACACTACTATATGTAAATTAGGTGACTAACAAAGACCTACTGTGTAGCACAGGGAACTAGTAAATACTATGAAATAACCTATAAGGGAAAAGAATCTGAAAAAGAATATATATATATATATACACACACATATATATAAAATAGGTATATAATCTGTAACTGAATCACAACTGCTTTACACCTGAAACTAACACAACACTGAAAAGCAACAATACTTCAATTACAAAATTTTAAAAAATAGAAAATAAAAGTTGCTTTTGGGAAAAGGTAACACCAAAACTCAACTATGCAAATAAAAATATTTTAAGTGCCAATTTACAGAGATTTCTTTTCTCTAAATTCCCATCAAACTTTCATATTAAAAGTGCTAAGATCTGAGCCATAGGAATTGAAGAGGAAAAGCTACATATGAATATACCCACCAAAACTTTGTAAACATTCATTCGATATTAGAGTTCTCCATTTAAAGATGGCAGTGAACAGCTGTATAGAGAAAGGAAGATCACAAACTACAGTTTACCCTTGGAACTTGGGTTTGAACTGCGTGGGTCCACTCAGATGTGGATTTTTTTCAGTAATAAATACTGCAGTACTAGACAGTCTGTAGCAGGATGAATCTGAGGATGCAGAGGACTGATTCTAAATTACACTTGGATTTTCAAGGTGGTATTCAGAGCCCCAATCCCTGCCTTATTCAGGAGTCAACTGTAAATATTTCCTCACAGATGAGCAGAACTAAACTTTATTTTAAACCTTAATTAGGAAACTTGCCTTTAAAAAAATATTGTTCAAACAGTATTTTTTTTTAGTATTAGTAAATAATGAAACAAATATATTTTAAAAATCCCTTTTTTCCCAGCAGCTTTTCAGCTTCCCAATTAAATATTTTGGCAATTCATGTCTAAGTTGATTAGTGGTAAAAGTGAGTGGGAAAAAATGGCTTGTTTTTTTTAAAATATTAAACAGTTTGTCTTTCAGATCTTAACATTAAAAATCAAAGACCAAAAAAAAGATCATACTTTTTCTTAAACAGGTCACCATTTTCTTTCTAACCTATGATTCTGGAAAGAAAGTACAACTGCCAAAACCTAGTTTTGCATTAGATTTATATTAAGACTTTTATCCAGCTGTAATTTATGGTGTTAGGGACTGAATGTGTCACCCCAAAATTTATGTTGAAACCCTCATTCCCAATAACAATTATGCTTTTTTCCACTGAAAACTTATGTCCCCCCACCCAAACATCTTTCTGTTAATCCTCCGCTTGGTAACAAGTCCCTGCTAGTCAGTTAAACTAAAGTTCTTAGTCATCTGGGACTGGCATGTCACCTGGGCAGCTGCTTAGTCCCACAGGACTGTCCCTTGCAGCACTCACTTCAGATGCCTGTCTGTCCAGTTTGTCACCTATTATCTGCTCCTTCAGTTTTAAATATCTTTTTTACTGAAGAATCAGCAAAATAAGATGTTTCCACAGTGATTTATTGTTCATTATTTTTACAACCTTTTCATGAAGATAATTCATGTATTTAAAACACCTTCAAATATTTAAAAGGCATTATCAGGCAACATCATTTTAAATATATAGTGACATATTGCTAGCAGAGTTGTATGCACTTACATCACTAAAGTTCTTCCCTCTTACTTTTTTTTAAATGACACTGGTGAACTAGTGGAAGCAACTTCCCTTCTTTGTGAAGCCTATGAGTGTCAGTTGCACCTCCAATAAAAGTTCCATTGACAAATATTCGTGGTACCTGTTGGTTAAACAAAAGTTTAGATGTCACCCTGGGTGTCAGAAGTATAAAGCCATTCACAGGATCCTAATACATGCTACACTGGGGGTGCTTTTATGGGCAAAGCACCATATGAAGCTCTTTGATAATTACCTATTTAAACTTTCCAACCCTTTTCAGATGGGGCTTCCCCGGTTAGCTCAGTGGTAAAGAATCCATCTGCCAGTGCAGGAGACAGGTTGAATTCCTGGGTTGGGAAAGTCCCCTGGAGAAGGAAGTGGCAACCCACTCAAGTATTCTTGCCTGGAAAATCCCGTGGACAGAGGAGCCTGGCGGGCTACAGCCCATGGGCTCATAAAGAAGTCATACTTAGCGTCTAAACAACCTTTCAGGTAGGTACTATTTTTTAGTCTTATTTTGGAGGCACAGGAACTTGCCCAAGATCACAAAGTAAGTGACAGAACTGGGATTTAAACCCAAGACAAACTCTCTCAACCCCGTTCTCATTGCTTTGGCATATAAAAGGCAAAATAAAGCAATCAGCAATCTCTAATGATTAATAATGTTTAAGTGGTTCTTTCTTACCATTGTTTATACTAAAGGGGAAGAGTACATTATCAACTCCTTAACAGGCACATATAAACAGGAAGGAAAATGGCAACATTATTTTTCCTTTTTGTTCCTTTGGGGTTTTTTTTTTTCTTTTTTGCCACACCAAGCAGCATGCAGGATCTTAATTCTGCCTGGCCAGGGATCAAGCCCCCTGCAGTGGAAGCTCAGAGTCCTGACCACTAGACAACCATGGAATTTCCTCTTTTTTTTCCATAATGCATGTTATGGGAATACCCTCAGATTTCAAGAATCTAAAAACATGGAGCCTGAAAGCACTCATTAGTACAGAAAATGAAGGACCCGTGATCTGCACTGTTCAAGTGAGGAAAGAATACTTTCATCTTGAAAAAGTCCTAGGAGGATGTCAACCATTTATAGATCACTACTCATGCCAACACCATTAGCCCACCCATTTCACACACTTACTCACAAACACCACAGTAAACATTAAAAAAAAAAATAGAACTCGTTTCCTGGTCTATGAGTCTGTTCCCAAATCTGCCATTTCTTTATCAATTCAGAGTCTCAGAGTACGTCTGGCTCACTTTTCCCAACACAAGGACACAGGCCCGAGGTGACCCAGCCCACCACCCACTTCGGGGCAAAGCACCCCAGGGGCTGGACTCACAGTTCTTTCACCAGTCATTTTGTGAAGCGCGTCTTGAAACTGACTTCCGTATTCAAGCATGTCCAATTCCACCACTTTATAGTTAACATTCATGTCATGGAAAAGTTTTTTTGCCATCGTACAGTAAGAACAGGATGTTTTGGAGAAAATCACCACACAATTATTAGAAATGGTCTCCTGAAGTAAAGCCAAAACAAAACAGAACAAAAAAATCATTTTAATTCTAGACATTACCTCTCAGAAAGGAATCATGATACAGGAGATACATGATATAGTAGGAAGTGTACGGATTTTGGAGCCTCACTATTTAGGGCTCAGACTCAGCCAACGTCATCTAATTCTTATCTGTAGATTGAAGACAAAGGAACATTATTAGGGAAAAGGGATGTTATGGGTAGAAAGTGTTGGCACAGAGTAATAACACGGATAATCACAGCCAATTCATAGATAGCAGACACTTCTGTGTGCCAACACAATCCTCAACACTTTACCTTCACTAATTCACTTAAACCTCACTACAATCCTGAGATAGGTCTTTATCATCGCCTCCACTTCATACATGAGGAAACTGTGGCACAGAGAGGGGTAAATAACTTACCCCCAGTCCTCAGCTCATAAGTGGGTGAGCTGGGATTTGAACCCGTGCAAGTCTGAGTCCACAGCCGAGGTACTTAAGTATTTGAAGTGTTTAAGTATTTGAATACTTCTCAAATATTCAGAAGGTGTTCAGGAATTAACTCCTTATTTAACTGTCTTTTTAAATTTTTTTTTAACCATCTTAACCATTCTTTCTGTTTTTATTCTGTCTGCACCACACAGCTTATGGGGTCTTAGCTCCCCAACCAGGATCAAACCCATGTCCCTGGCAGTGGAAGCCTGAAGTCCTAACCACTGGACCACTGGGGAATTCCCTTTTTTGCTTTTTTTATATAACATTGAAATATAACTAACTTACACTATTGTATTAGTTTCAGGTGTATAGCATGGTGATTTGGTCTTTTTTTATTTTTCAAAATGATCACCCACTTCCTTAATGTTCAATGGTGAGAAATGACGTACACATGCATGCTGAGTCACTTCAGTCACGTCTGACTCTTTGCAAACCTGCCAGGCTGCTCTGTCCGTGGGATACTAGAGTGGGTTGCCATGCCCTTCTCCAGGAGATCTTCCTGACCCAGGGAACAAACCCATGTCTCTTACATTTCCTGCATTGGCAAGCAGGTTCTTTACCACTAGTGACACCTGAAGCCCCAGTGATGTATGATGTCTCTTCAAAATATAAGGCTTTCAAGGATCCAGGTATAAACAATTGTTTTTCCCTTCAACTTCCACTCCTTCCTTGTGTATATTTATAGTAAAAAACAACTGTCATCACTGTTTTGATAAGATATTCCCCAGCATTCATTTTTCCTAGAAAAGCTACTTCCAGAGATGCTGACTCAGTGGGTTTGAGGCAGAGGTCAGAAACTATTTCTGAAAAACATTCCCAACAATTCTAACATCAACCTGGAAGCTATATTAGCCTTGAAAGCTATCCTACCTGCCTTTATTATAAACACTCCAAGGCTTCGCTGTGTATCTGTGTCACAACTTCACAGGTAAAGTTTGTTGAGCTTTGTGTGTATCAATGCCCAGGTCCTTCGGGAATTTCTGAACGGACAGATCTAGCACCCAGGCGTCTGCTAGGTTGTCCTAGTGCCAGTCATAAGCAGCACCTTCAAGATGAAACTCAAAAATCAGGGAGTAGGACAAAGTGGTTCAGAAGTTACATCTGCCCTCGGGGGTCAGAAGGATTCTAAGTCAGTGTCTTTGTTCAGTTGTTCAATCACTAAGTCACGTTCAACTCTTTCGACCCCATGGACTGCAGCACACTATCTCCTGGAATTGGCTCAAACTTATATCCATTGACTTGGTGACTCCATCCAACCATCTCATCCTCTGTCATCCCCTTCTCTCCTGCCCTCAATCTTTCCCAGCATCAGGGTCTTTTCTAATAAGTCGGCTCGTCACATCAGATGGTCAAAGTATTGGAGCTTCAGCTTCAGCATCAGCCCTTCCAATGAATATTCAGGGTTGATTTCCTTTAGGACTGACTGGTTGGATCTCCTCGCAGTCCAAGGGACTCTTAAGAGTCCAGGTGTCTGCAAATCTATTTTCATGCTTTCTCTTCTGCTTACTCTCACTATTTACTACAGAAGTCTATCTCAGGGAGAGCTAGACAGGCCAGAGATGTACTACTGAATCCATTTTACAGATGAGAAAACTGAGGTTGAGGAGTTCACAGCACTGCATGGGATTCCACCCTCCCTGTCCCCAAACCAAAGCCAGTGCTCCTTCCTCACTGTGCTGCCTCAGCTTAGAGACACACCGAGACCATAAATTAGAGAGGAGCACCCTGGTGGCTGACGCACAGTAAAGTGAAAGTCGTTCACTTACATGTGATTCTTTGAGACCCCATGGACTGTAGCCCGCCAGGCTCCACTGTCCATGGGATTCTCCAGGCAAGANGGTCCATCTAGTCAAGGCTATGGTTTTTCCAGTGGTCATGCATGGACGTGAGAGTTGGACTATAAAGAAAGCTGAGTGCCAAAGAATTGATGCTTTTGAACTGTAGTGTTGGGGAAGACTCTTGAGAGTCTGCAAGGAGAGAGGCCTGCACTGAGATCCAACCAGTCCATCCTAAAGGAAATCAGTACTGAATATTCATTGGAAGGACTGATGCTGAAGCTGAAACTCCACTACTTTGGCCAGCTGATTTGAAATGATTCATTTGAAAAGACCCTGATTCTAGGAAAGACTGAAGGCTGGGAAAGGGAGAAGGGGACGACAGAGAATGAGATGGTTGGATGGCATCACTGACTCAATGGACATGAGTTTGAGTAAACTCTGGGAGTTGGTGATGGACAGGGAGGTTGGCATGCTGCAGTCCGTGGGTTCGCAAAGAGTCGGACACAACTGAGCGACTGAACTGAACTGAGAGGTTCCAAACTGAGCAGAAACTCAGGATGACAGTGTCACAGTGTCCTGAACCTTCCTTCTCACCTTTTCTCAACCCTGTCCCTGCTAAAGGGTTTCATATTCTTTTCATTTGTTTGGTTTTGGCCAAATTGCGAGGTGTTAGTTCCATGACCAGAGATTGAACCTGTGCCCCCCTGCAGTGGAAGCATGGAATCTTAACCACGAAACTGCCAGGGAAGTTCCTCATGGTTTCCTATTCTTATTTTAAAAGAAGCAATCCCTCACTGTAGGTCTCCAACATTACTGTTATATTCAGCAGCTGTGAGTGAATACTTTTGTAGTCAAGTAAATCAAAGGCAGAAATGTTTGTGTGTAGTGGTGTCTGGTGGTGAGGAACAGAGAAATACATATGTCCTGTAGGCTACAAGGGTAGAAAAACACAAGAGGAGTTTTCTGAGGCAGACTTAACTGGGCTTTGCAGTTCAAGCAAGAAAAAGACAAGAGAACACAGCAGCACAGTATCCTTGAGAGGATCAGTCCCACAATAACTATGGCAAACTAGATTCTGTGTTTTAGAAAAACAGCTTCTCAGGGCAGAAACAAACACTATGCCTGGCTAAGGCACCCTGACTGGTAACAACAGGAGACCTGAGGTGCGTGAGACGGAAAGAGCAGTCAACCTTGTAGACCCAACTTAGAGGAGCGGAGGCCCCATTAAGAATAAACCTCATAGGGACTTCGCTGGCAGTTCAGTGGTTAGGATTCTGTGCTTCCACTGCAGAGGGCACACGTTCAATCCCAGATCGGGGAACTAAAATTCCACAAGCAATTTGGCACGGCCAAAAAAAGAATAAATCTCATAAATTCTAAGAAAATGATCCAGAATTTCTTTGTAACATGCATGATTTTGACAGCAGATTTAAAAATACATTAACTTAGTAATTAATTTATTAGGCTGTGTCAAGTTTGGATAAGCATATTAAATATGTAAGACAATTCTATTTCCACCAAGGAAAGTTTTTTCCTACATGTCCCCATCACTCACTTGGATCTGATTCACGGGAGCAGTTGCTGCGTTTCCCAAAGATGATGATGTGCTGTTCCCCATCCTAAAATGAATTTTAAAGAATAGTGAAGTTAAACATTAAGGACAATATATCAGATGAGATCCATTCAGAGAAACCCCAATATGCAAATATATATCCAAACATATGAAAGAGAAAAGTTTTACTTGCTATCAGTACAAAATAGCATAGTCAAAGTATTTGTTTACTAATAAAACAAAGGCCTGCATCCTTTACTATCTAGCTTTCAGGAAAGAAAATGGAGGTTAAGGGATGAAGGCGTGGACCTAAGTAGGAGCTTTGCTGTAACAACACATCCATCTATTTGTCTTATCAACTAAGATAATACATCCTTTTCATTTCAGTTCCAACACTTTAATTATCATTCCCAAACCACCTACTATTTGCATCTACTCTAGAAGCAGGAATTCTAGTAGATCTTTCCTAAGACCATATTTCCTTACGTACTAAGAGGAGGTGGAAGGTGTATTCTGAAACATCACTTTCCCTTGCCAAAGAAAAGAGAAAGCTGCTGGAAGGCAAGAAAGTAAGTTGTTCAATACACGTTTCTCTTCTCCATTAATGAAGTAGCCATCAGCCATGCCACGTTTATGGAACACCTACTATGTGCTAAGCAGGCAAAGGGCTGAAATGCCGCAGGGATATTATCACTGTAAAAGCACCACTGAACCTCCAAGACTTGTCAAATAGTTACACTATGTGATTGGCACCTTCTGGAGGGGGTTTCTAGTTTAGCAGAGAAGGTTAATCAGGGGCTCCTCGAGTCTTGCAAAACTGGCAGAAGTTAACAGATCGAGGAGTTAGGAATAACGTCCCAGGCAGAGGGATGGGTGTACAGACAGGCGAGCTGGTAGGACAGCCCCTACCGGCCGCGCGGGAGTGAGGCCGGCAGAGAGGAGGCGGTCTCGCAACGCAGGCCTGCGGGCCGCGGGTGTTCACCGACCTCGCTGGAGCCAGAGGCGACACCGTCCTATCTCGAAGACCTGGTCATTTGGTAGAAAGCGCCACTTCCACTTCCTGCAGCAGGAGCCAGATTTAGCAAACGATAATGCAGGTCGCTCCGTTAAATTAGAATTTCAGATAAACAGCGAATAACTGCTTAGCCTACGTATGTTCCGTGCAATATGTGGAATATACTTAAACCAAACCATTATTCGCTGTTTATCTGAAATACCAGTTTATTAGGCCATCTTATATTTTATCTAGTAACCGAGGAGGAGGGGAGGTTCAAGCCAGCAAGATTTAGGCTTGTGCAATCTGAAGATCACTTGGTCCCGAAATCGCCAAGAGCGCTTAAGGCACCTTCTCTACGGGTCCCTTCCCGGCCTCCCGCCCTCCGAGGCGCCTCAGCGGCTCGATCGACTCGGGGTGCACCGGGCGCCCGGGAAGAAGCCGCCCCAGCCCACCGCTAGGTCCAGACCCCCGCGAGGCCGCACAGCCACGCTCAGCCCATGCTGCTCAAAGAGCCGCTTACCCGGAGCCCGAAATTCCCCCTGGCCCCTCAAGCCGGCCCGCTGAGCTGCTCCTGACCCGGACGAGCCGAGTCCCCACCAGCGCTGCGCGGCGCCAGTACATGGTCTTACGCGGGGCCTTAGCAAGCACACCAGCCAGCAACCGCGGCCCTGGAGATCACGACCCCGCCCGCCGGCTCCGCCCTACCCGGCTGCCCACGCCTCCGCCGGCGGCCCCGCCCTCCGGGGCCCCGCCCCCACAGCAACCCGCCCCACCGGGATGCCCCTCCTCCAACCGCTGCCCCGCCCCACCGGGCTGGCTTTACTCCGCCGGCCCCGCCCCGCCCGCTGGCACTTCCTCCACCTACGGCCCCTCCTCCACGCGCCGGCCCCGCCCCGCCCATCGGCCCCTCCTCCGCCTTCGAATCCCTCCTGTTCACTTGGTTCCGCCCCCTTCTTCCCTGCCCCGCCTCTGTCTTCCGGCTCCGCCTCGCCAGCGGCCCTGCCCCTTTAGCCTGTCCCGCCTCCACCCGCCGATCCCGCCTCCTCATCGGGTTCCCTCCCCTTCTTCCCAGCCCCGCCTCTGTCTTCCGGCCCCGCCTCTGCCTTGCCCCCGAAGAGCCCGCCTCCGCCCGCCGGCCCGGCCCCCTCTGGCCGGTCACGCCCCCTCCGGGCTGCCCTTGAGGCGCCGGTCTCTTCTACGCGGCCCCGGGGTCTGTCTCCTCCAGGCAGCCCGAGCGCTGGGTCTCGGCGAGTCCGGCCCACTAGGGGGGTCTCTGTCGGAGTCTCGGTTGATGCCTCACCTGATGGTGTCCAGGGTTCATCCAGGTCCCGCTCCTATGTTTTTTCGGATCGAGAACGCTCATAAAGGCTTACAGACACGTGCAGGCACTGCCTGGACACTGTGGCCAACCTTCTGACGAAACGGAAAACAAAAANTGATGCCTCACCTGACGGTGTCCAGGGTTCATCCAGGTCCCGCTCCTATGCTTTTTCGGATCGAGAACGCTCATAAAGGCTTACAGACACGTGCAGGCACTGCCTGGACACTGTGGCCAACCTTCTGACGAAACGGAAAACAAAAACAATGAGTGTCCGACACGGAGTCAGAAGGCCTGGGATGTTTACATAGGATGGTAGCGTCAGCGCAACTTCCTGTCGGACTGGTCTTTGTGTTGATGAAATCAGAGCCTAAAGATGTCATCTCAGAATTAGGCCATTGATTGAGAACTCATATAAATCAGGGATTTTAGAAGAAAGTGATCCAATGTAGAACGTGCATTCCAAAGAAAACAAAATTGTATTTTGAACATAAAATTAGAAAATAAAATTTAAAGTAACCCACGAGTGTTCACTCTGGCTTTGAGAGCTGTTAATGACAGAATTGTGTCATTGAGTCACGGTAATAATAGCCCTTTGTGCATAGCTAGGTAAAAAAGAGGTGTGTCGTCCTTTATTTACTGACATTGAAATCTATTTAAGGTCAAAGGTCAAATACTGTGTCTAAAATTCTAGGAAATTGCTAGAACAATCCAGACCTTTTTTAATGGTTCTTTCTCATTAGCTAAATTTAAGATTCATGCTACCAAGTTTCAGAATGAGAACTTCTATTTCTAATAGTTCTTTTCCTACTTTCAAGTGGACCATGTTTCATTACTTCATAAAAGGATGAAGATTTATTGCAAAATCAAATATCCCAAAAGGTGTAAAGGTGCTTCTTTATAAATCCAAAATTATCTAGGGTGAAACAGATCACCAGTCCAGGTTGGGTGCATGAGACAAGTGCTCGGGCCTGGTACACTGGGAAGACCCAGAGGGATCCGGTGGAGAGGGAGGTGGGAGGGGGGACCGGGATGGGGAATACATGTAAATCCATGGCTAATTTATTTCAATGTATGACAAAAACTACTGCAATGATGTAAAGTAATTAGCCTCCAACTAATAAAAATAAATGGAAAAAAAAACAAAATTAACTTTAAAAATAAAGATATGTATCTACAATGTCGCAGCATATTGTCTGTGTGTGTGTGTGTGCGCGTGTGTGTGTTTAATCAAACGACAGCTAGCTATTCAGGAAATTTACTATGACAGTTTTTTGTTTTGATGTAGAATTTTACCTTATTGTCTTAAACTGTGTATTGTGAGGTGAAACAGTTATGTCACAATATGATTTTAATATAGTATAGATGGCCTAGATTAAGGACAAAACTATCTGGACAGACTTTTTTTAAAGGGAGTCCCTAATGAGAGTTGTTGCTGTTCAGTCGCTTGCTCCTGTCTACTCTTTGCAAAGCCCTGGACTGCAGCACACCACTTCCCTGTCCTTCACTATCTCCCGGAGTTTGCCAAAACTCAAGTCCATTGAGTTGGTGATGCCATCCAACCATCTCATCCTCTATCATCCCCTTCTCCTCCTGCCTTCAATCTTTCCCAACATCAGGGTCTTTTCTAATGAGCTGGCTCTTCACATCAGGTGGCCAAAGTATTGGAGTTTCAGCTTCAGCATCAGTCCTACCAATGAACACCTAGGACTGAACTCCTTTAGGATGGACTGGTTGGATCTCCTTGCAGTCCAAGGGACTCTCAAGAGTCTTCTCCAACACCGCAGTTCAAAAGCATCAATTCTTCGGCCCTCAGCCTTCTTCATAGTCCAAATCTCACATTCATACATGACTACTAGAAAAACCATAGCTTTGACTAGACAGACCTGTCTTGGCAAAGTAATGTCTCTGCTTTTTAATATGCTTTCTAGGTTTGTCATAGCTTTTCTTCAAGGAGCAAGTGTCTTTTAATTTCATGGCTACAGTGACTACCTGCAGTGATTTTGGAACCCAAGAAATAAAGTCTGTCACTACTTCCATTGTTTCCCCACCTATTTGCCGTGATGGAACTGGATGCCAGATCTTAGTAAACTTATTTATTTTAATTGGAGGCTTTTACTTTACAATATTGTAGTGGTTATGCCATACATTGACATGAATCAGCCACAGGTGTACATGTGTCCCCTATTCAGAAACCCCCTCCCACCTTCCTTCCCATCCCATCCCTCTGGGTTGTCCCAGTGCACCAGCTTTGAGTGCCCTGTTTCATGCAGTGAACTTGAACTGGTCATCTATTTCACATATGGCAGTATACGTTTCAATACTATTTTCTCAAATCACCCCACCCTTGACTTCTCCCACAGAGTCCAAAAGGCTGTTCTTTATATCTGTGTCTCTTTTGCTATCTCTTGTAGAGGGTCATCATTACCATCTTTCTAAATTCCATATATATATATGTGTGTGTGTGTGTGTGTGTGTGTGTGCGTGTTAATACACTGTATTGGCATTTTTCTTTCTGACTTACTTCACTCTGTATAATAGGCTCTAGTTTCATCCACCTCATTAGAACTGATTCAAATGCATTCCTTTTAATAGCTGAGTATTATTCCATTGTGTATATGTATCACAAATTTCTTATCCATTCATAAGCTGATGGACATCTATGTTGCTTCCATGTCCTGGCTATTGTAAACAGTGCTGAGATGAACATTGGGGTACACAAGTCTCTTTCCATTCTGGTTTTCTCAGTGTGTATGCCCAGCAGTGGGATTACTGGGTCATGTGGCAGTTCCATTTCCAGTTTCTTAAGGAATCTCCACACTGTTCTCCATAGTGGCTGTACTAGTTTGCATTCCCACCAACAGTGTAAGAGCATTTCCTTTTCTCCACATCCAATCCAGCATTTATTGTTTGTAGACTTTTTGATGGCAGTCATTCTGACTGGCTTGAGATGGTACCTCATTGTGGTTTCAATTTGCATTTCTCTGATAATGAGTGACGTTTAAAATCTTCTCATGTGTTTGTTAGCCATCTGTATGTCTTCTTTGGAGAAATGTCTGTTTAGTTCCTTGGCCCATTTTTTTTAATTGGGTCATTTATTTCTCTGGTATTGAGTTCATTCAAATCCTAAAGAAAGGCAATGCCAAAGAATGCTCAAACTACCACACAATTGCACTCATCTCACATGCTAGCAAAGTAAGGCTCAAAATTCTCCAAGCCAGGCTTTAACAGTAGGTGAACTGTGAACTTCCTGATGTTCAAGCTGGATTTAGAAAAGGCAGAGGGACCAGAGATCAAATTGCCAACATTGGTTGGATGATTGAAAAAGCAAGAGACTTCCAGAAAAACATCTACTTCTGCTTTGTTGACTATGCCAAAGCCTTGATTGTGTGGATCACCACAAACCGTGGAAAACTCTTCAAGAGATGGGAATACCAGACCACTTGACCTGCTTCCTGAGAAATCTGTATGCAGGTCAAGAAGCAACAGTTAGAACTGAACATGGACCAACAGACTGGTTCCAAATTGGGAAAGGAGTACATCAAGGCTGTATATTGTCACCCTGCTTATTTAACTTATATGCAGAGTACATCATGAGAAACGCTGGGCTGGAAGAAGCACAAGCTGGAATCAAGATTGCCGGGAGAAATATCAATAACCTCAGATATGCAGATGACACCACCCTTATGGCAGAAAGTGAAGAGGAACTAAAAAGCCTCTTGATGAAAGTGAAAGAGGAGAGTGAAAAAGTTGGCTTAAAGCTCAACATTCAGAAAACTAAGATCATGGCATCTGGTCCCATCACTTCATGGGAAATAGATGGGGAAACAGTGGAAACAGTGTCAGACTTTATTTTTGGGGGCTCCAAAATCACTGCAGATGGTGATTGCAGCCATGAAATTAAAAGACGCTTACTCCTTGGAAGGAAAGTTATGACCAACCTAGATAGCATATTAAAAAGCAGAGACATTACTTTGCCAACAAAGGTCCGTCTAGTCAAGGCTATGGTTTTTCCAGTGGTCATGTATGGATGTGAGAGTTGGACTATAAAGAAAGCTGAGCCCTGAAGAATTGATACTTTTGAACTGTGGTGTTGGAGCAGACTCTTGAGAGTCCCTTGGACTGCAAGGAGATCAAACCAGTCAATCCTAAAGGAAATCAGTCCTGAATATCATTGGAAGGACTGATGCTGAAGCTGAAGCTCCAATACATTGGCCACCTGATGTGAAGAATTGACTCATTTGAAAAGACCCTGATGCTGGGAAAGATTGAAGGCAGGAGACAGGGACGACAGAGGATAAGATGGTTAGATGGCATCACCGACACTATGGACATGAGTTTGAGTAAGCTCCAGGAGTTGGTGATGGACAGGGAGGCCTGTCGTGCTCCAGTCCAAGGTGTCACAAGAGATGGACACGACTGAGTGATTGAACTGAATTGAACTCTGAGTAGCTACAGAAGTGGTGTTTTGGAGGCAAAATTGTGATGTCTACAATGGCATAAGAAGAAATATGCCAGCCTATTTACATGTAAGCTGTGGCTATAAGAGGGGATGGCTGGTATAGGTAGATCAAGAATACATTGTTAATTACAAACTGTGAGTATGAGTGCTAAGTAGCTTCAGTCATGTCCAACTCTTTGCAGCCATGTGGATCATAGCTCTGTCAGATTCCTCTGCCCATGAGATTCTCCAGGCAAGAATACTGGAGTGAGTTGCCATGCCCTCCTTCAGAGGATCTTCCCAACCCAGGGATTGAACCCACATCTCTTACGTCTCCTGCATTGGCACATGGGGTCTTTACCACTTGAGCCAACTGGGAAACTCCAAACACAGTTCTAGGCATTATATAATTTTTTTCATGATTCAATGTGTTATTCATTAAAAGAATTAACATACCTTTAAATGTGTTTTCATTCTTGTTTTTTATATTTTAATTGTCAGTTAAAGCTCACACATTGTGTTTACATCAAAAGCAGTGTTTTCCCCTTCCTAGCATTGGAAGTCACTAAGATCAGTAAATGAGATCTCCCTGAAAGAACCTAAAGGGAGGTTCTCTAGTGTGGGTCCAGCCTGTGGACCTTAGCCATCTAGGAAGGAACCTTTGAAAATTCTTCCTCCAAAACTCTTCCTTTAAATAGAATGTGATCATGAGTCCTCAAGGATCGGCCTTTGTATTGCTGTTGTTTCCTTAGGGCTGTTGTTTAAAAAAAAAAAACTACCACAAACTTAAAAGAACAGAAATCTATTCTCTCACAGTTCTGGAAGCCAAAAGTCCAAAATCTGGCAGGGCTGTGCCTTCTAGAGGCAACTGTAGAGGAGAATTCACTTCCTTCCTTTTCCATGTCTGGTGGCTCCGAAGTGCTTCTTGACTTGGAGCCACATCCCTTCAATCTCTGCCTCTGTCTTCATACCCTCTTTTCATCTGTTAGTCTCTTACAAGGACACTGTGAATAGACTGAGGGCCCAGCAGGATAATCCTGGATGGTTTCACCTCTAGGCCCTTCACTAAATTACTTCCG